TAGCAGTAATGATGTACACCTTATGACATTAGAATATTATAACGAACATAAAGATGAACTGAAAGGAGAGAAGGGTGACACCGGACCTCAAGGACCACAAGGAATACAAGGAATACAAGGAATACAAGGACCTCAAGGCGAAAACGGTTTGGATGGAAAGGATGGAAAGGATGGAAAAACTGCTAAATCATGGATATGGGACCTTATAAATACTGGTTTAACAGCTGCTTCATATGGAGTTCTTCAATACCAAATCGGAAAGATATGGGCAGTACTTGGTGAAGAAGTTTTAAATGACGTTAAAAATGCTTTGAACTTCATTTCAAATGGTTCGGATACTATTAAAACTTTATCTGGTTGGATGCAAGAAACAAGGAGTCAAATAGATACTGTAAGACGTATAGCAAACAATGCACGTACGGGATTGGATACTTTACGACAAGCACAAAATACACTAAAGGAAGCAAATGATATTCTTGGCTCAGTATCAGACATGCATGAAGATTGGCTTAAAGGTATTGACAAATCTTTAAAAAATCACAGTCAGTCTATTGCTGACTACAAGAAAAGTATAGATTTTTTACATAGTGCTATGGACGTACATGATGGAAGCATAAGGAACTTACTTAATGCTAACAATAACTTACCAGGAACTATTAAAGCATTTATAAAGTCCTTTGTAAAACCCGGTGCTCTAACATTTAGGTCTTTGAGAGCAAGAGCATTGAAGTCAAGAGATGCAGAAACTCCAACAGAAGGAACTGAAACAACAGAAACTCCAGAAGAACCACCAAAACCAACAGCTAATGAAATATTGTTCGAATATTTTCCAAGGTACTCTGTTCTCATTGCATACATTCAAGAAATACTTAAGAAAGCAGACTTGACTTTAGGAGATGATGAAAGTTCTGTATATCTTTCGTTCCAGTTTCAAATAGCAGAACTTTTGAGACAGATATGCTTAATGTATGACAACATCTCTGATTTCACAAGATATGATGACGACCATGACCCCGAACACGGTGAAGAAGAAGTTTTACAAACATCCATTAAGACAGGAAAGGTTTTAACACAAAGTCTCATTATTGACACCAAAGATGGCGAAGTGGACGTTCTTCAAGAGCTGAAGAAAAATACTTCTTCGGGAGGTGGTGGTAGGCATGAACTTGAAATAAATGAGATAGAAGAGAAATTAGCCGAAAAAGCAGATAAAGAACATAAACACAATATCTCCGATATAAATGAACTTCAAGCTACATTAAATAGTAAAGCGGACAAAAATGAACTTGACGCAATGAACAAAGTTTTGAAATCTCATAAACACAATATCTCCGATATAAATGAACTTCAAGCTACATTAAATAGTAAAGCGGACAAGAACCATGTTCATTATATAACTTCAGACGAACAGATTATAACGGACTACCATGGATATTTAACACGAAGTGATGAAGCGAAGACAAAAAATGTTAATGAAAGAAGATATAAATACATTCGTGCTAAAGGTTATGACATAAGCTGTACTGTACAGTATGATGTAGCTAAAGCACCAGAAGCATTTGGTTATACCGGTGAAATTTATGCCTCTACTTTCAATGTTAACGGTGTATTAGTTGAACCAAGATTTACTTTGAGAGTTAAGGCAAAAATAACGTTTGAAGATGCTATTAAAAGTAAAGCTGACAAAGTTGAACTCGAAGCAATGAACAAAGTTTTGAAATCTCATAAACACAACATCTCCGATATAAATGAACTTCAAGCTACATTAGACAGTAAAGCTGACAAGAACCATACACATAAATCCTTCACTACTGTTAGAGCAGACGACATAATATTGAACTTTGACCTTGGTTCAAGTGCACCATTAGAAAATCCAAGTACAAGCGTAAAAGATACTCTTAACAGTTTAGATAAGAGTTGCAGGAACATTGAAAGTCATGCCAGAAACTTTGAAGCATATGAACTACCAACAATGTTAGATAAGAAAGCAGATAAAACTTATGTGGATGCAGAACTAACAAAGAAATTTTCGAAACCAGATACAATGACATTTACAACAGAAATTATAAATGGTGAACCAGCAACTCCATTTGAATTTGTTAGAGGTCTTCAACCAGATACTTTTGAATTTTTCTTGGATAATTCTATTGAACTAACATTACATTATAAAAGTGGAACAAATGCAACATTTCATCCGGGAGATACATTCCAAATGGTATTTAATGACATAAGTTCTTTAGAATATGTTTATAGAGTTATGAGCATATATGATTTAATATATCCTATAGGAGCTGTTTATACGTCTATGAATCCAATAAATCCAAACACTTTATTTGGTGGTAGATGGTATGAAATAGTTGACAGTTTTCCATTCTACACTAATACGCAGTCAATGAAGATGGGAGGTTCAAAGAAAATAGGTATTGAAAACCTTCCTTCACATATGCATAGGTTCAGTGGAAGAACATCTGTGGAAGGAAACCATTCACATTCAATAACAAAAAAGAGGTTATATAAATCTTGCAGCGGGTTCGAATAGACAGGGAATGAACAGATATGATATCTCAGATGACCCCAAAGATGTTAGCACAGGTATTTTCTGTGGAACTGCAGGAAATCATACACATGTTGTAGCTGGTATTACAGACCCAGCAGGTAATGGAAAAGATTATATGCCTCCTTATATAACAATGCACGCTTGGATACGAGTTGGTTAAAATCTTTAACTTTACATAAATGAGCTTGAAAGAAGTATTCGAACAACATCCATGGAGGTCATTTAAGAAGTTCAATGAAGCTGCAAAGAGTTGGGGATTTACTAACAGAGCTGAAGTTAAAAAGTTCTTTGACAAAAATGTTGTACATCAAACAAAAATAAACCCTTACGACTACTTTTTACCAATTTACTCCAACACTCCTGACGCATACCAATTTGACACTCTCATTCAAAGCAAAAAGGAGGACATAAACCATTCCTCATCTTCATAAATGTTAACACTCGTAAAGCATATGCATATCCAATGAAAAATAAAGGAACTCGTGAAGTGTTAAGAGTTTTACAAAAGTTTGTAGCAGAACATAACCCAAGTACTTTAACATCAGACCAAGACAGTGCATACCTCAGCAATGAAATCACAGAATTTCTCATTAAGCATAACATAACTCACTACACTACTGAAGACCATAACCATAACATACTCGGCATCATAAACCGCTTCATAAGGACTCTCAGAGATTTAAACCAAGAGCGAGACTTTACCGAAGAAACAATGAAACATTTTCTCGAAGTATATAATTCCTCAACACATTCTACAACAGGACATACACCAAATTCAATGACACAACAACAAGAAGAAAAGTATATACAAAAGAAACGAAGCCAAACACAAAATATCAGAAATTCAACACAATTTACCCTCATTCCTGGTACAAAAGTTCGTGTAGTTCTTGACGACAAACCGTTGACAAAGAAACGTTTAAGGTTAAGTCGAAATTATTATATTGTAGACTCTACGCAAGGTAATGGATATCTTATAAAAGCTGCCGACGACTCTATTGCGTTTTATCCTCGACATAAATTAGTCGAAAGTAGTAATGGCAAACTTGCTGAAACCATTGACGAAGCAAAGCGAGGAGTGGTTATTGAAATACTTGGCTATAACACAAACGATGACACTTATAAAGTAAGATATGAAGGAGGCGTTGAAGATGTTATACCATCTAAGAACTTGAGAGAGTCGAAGCCAACACATCTGGGACCATTAGAGCGGGAGTACTGGAAAGACAAAAATATGCCAGAAAGAATAAGAAAATTCTTCTAAACTTTTTCATTAGATGTAAATCAGACAAAAATAATGTTTAGGTGAAGAGGTTAGATCTCACCCGTTTTTTCACCTCTTTTTTCACCTCTTGAATTTTCATGAATTTTCACAAATGACCAAAAATAATGTTTAGGTGAAGAGGTTAGATCTCACCTGTTTTTTCACCTCTTTTTTCACCTCTTGAATTTTCATGAATTTTCACAAATGACCAAAAATAATGTTTAGGTGAAGAGGTTAGATCTCACCTGTTTTTTCACCTCTTTTTTCACCTCTTGAATTTTCATGAATTTTCACAAATGACCAAAAATAATGTTTAGGTGAAGAGGTTAGATCTCACCTGTTTTTTCACCTCTTTTTTCACCTCTTGAATTTTCATGAATTTTCACAAATGACCAAAAATAATGTTTAGGTGAAGAGGTTAGATCTCACCTGTTTTTTCACCTCTTTTTTCACCTCTTGAATTTTCATGAATTTTCCCGAAATAAAAAATAATGTTAGTTTTATTTTTTTTATTTTTTTATTTTGTATAAAAGATATGATTTCAACAATCGGCACAACAACAATTCAAGCCGCGAACGGCGGGACTCTGTCCACAACAACAGCACCAAACTCGTTAGTCATGAATCCTACGTCAATGTTAGTAGAGATGAAAAACTTCATTCCTTCTTCATATACTTTCGAAACAAAAATCCAGAAGATAAAGCAAGAACTTTTAACAAGTAATTTAGACTGTAGTGCGAAAGATGAAGAAAATGAAGAATATCTTTATGAAATGCAGGACATTATTGACCATTTACCCAAATTGCCTGAAATCCAACAACAAAAACTCACTATTCCTGAATTCGACGAAATTGAAGTGAAACCAACTGACTCAGTAGAAATAAAGAAGTTCATACGTAAAGTAAATTATGAATTCCTTGGTTTTCATTGCAACCATAAGGTTATGGACAAAGATTGCGACATGGTATATAAAAACATTTCTGACATATATAAATCTGAGGAGTTTAAGACTTACGATAACTTTGTTTCATTAGTTGCAAAATGTGTTTGGGAAATAAGAGATAAAGATAGAAGAGGCAAAGTATGGAACGAACAAATAAGACCCGCTATGTTTGAGATGAAGAGAGCAATTGACGCCTTAGTTGTTTTAGCTGGTTTTATTTCAATGTATAACGCAAAATGAACCCGCAATGTTCAAAATGTAAGGCAGCAATTAGGAAATATAACTACTCAGTCAAAGAGATAGAAAGAATGAGAAACGACTATGCAGACTTAAAGAAAGAAGCAGAAAAGCCAGCAGAAGATAAAATGAACATGTTAGAATTTCTGAACAAAAACTATCCAACAGCAGAAGATTTCCTTCTATCTGACGTCAAGAAGAAGTATAAAGAAACCTTCGGTATTGTTAAAACTTTTGACATACTGACAGAAGAAATAGAAGCTACGAAATTGTTTAGGATTTCAAATATACATCGTACAATTCATGTAAAACGCTTGTGAAAAAACTGGGGTGAAAAAACAGGTGAGATCTCACCTCTTCACCTAAATTATATTTTTGCTTTAATTAAATGCTTTCCGGAAACGTCGATGAAAATCATATGGACAAATTATATGAAAAAATTAATAATGATTACCCCTCATTAACCAGGGAAATGACGGATTCTATAGTTCGTAAATTCGATGAAATACAGGATATGTGGTTCGACAGATTCGACATGAACGATAAGGAAAAGAGAAAGAACGATAACAATTTACTTACTAAAAGAATCCTAAAATCTAAAATAGGTGAAGCTTCAACATTTAACACAGTACATAACTTTTACACCGCTGTTTATATTTTCAATAATTTATTTAACGATGAACGAGAAAGAAAAAGTATGTTTAACGGAAGAAATGAATATGATTTTATCCTTTGTGCTGTTCGGGATGTTGACATGAAACTAAAGAAAATATTCTTATTACAAGATGACACGGTTGAAGATGAAGTCAATGAGTTTTTAAATCGTGATTTAAATGAAATTGATGAAGTTATGACCGAATGTTATAAAAAGTTCAAGGGGTAGAAAATAGGTGAAAAAACGGGTGAGATCTCACCTCTTCACCTAAACATTATTTTTGTCTGATTTACGCTCATTACGATGAAGAAGTCTTGACAAAACATGTACGATGAAATCATGAAAATTCATGAGGTGAGAAAACAGGTGAGAAAACGGGTGAGATCTAACCTTCTACCCTAAAATATATTTTTATTGAATTCAGCAACAAAAATCTGAGTAAAATGGCATAAGATTGCTTCCCGAGGAAAACCGAGAGAAGAGATTCCGTATGAAAATCAGTGAAGAACAGCGAGTACGTAAGAAAACGTAGTCGCCAAAACTCTATGAAAATCATGAATTTCCTTAAGATAGAAAAAATAAAGTTAGTTTTTTGTAAAATATTTTTTTTATTTTGTATGTAAAGACATATATGTTAAACATTGAGTTTGAAACAGTTAGAAAGATAGACAATGACACCAAAGTGGTTAGAATAGGTGATTTAAACGTAAGATACTCAAAGAAATACAACAAATATTCTTTGTCAGACATTATATCTCCATCTGGAAAGAAAACATCCCACGACTGGGTTAAAATTGCTTCTACTCAGAAAATTTTGACAAGAAATCCTAAGCTTATGATATCGGTAAGATTCTATGGAACTACAGCATATCTTATAGACAAAAGTCTTATACCAATAGTTTTGTTATGGTTAGACCCAGTTGTTGGATATAACTTCATAACATATGGTTCATTCGATACGGAACGTTGCAGTGAAGGCTTACTTTACATCGTTCAGAAACCGAAGGACTTCAATACAAAGAGATATAAGATAGGAAGAACATATAATATAACTCAAAGATATGACAGTACAGTCAATAGAGTTAAGGTTGTGTTCGTTAACGATATGAGAGCTGCTGAAACAGAACTACTTGAAAAGTTTGAGAAAATGTATGGTGCTCCCACGAAAGGTAAAGAAACGTTTGAAGTAGATGAGATAGATAAAGCTATAAAATTATTTGACGAAGTTGCTGAAAAATACATGTAAAGCGTTTATTTTTGGTCTTTTGTGAAAGTCAGAAAATAACGCTAATTTTATTTTTATTTATTTTTTTATTTTGTATGTAAAGACAGTAATGACAACATCAGAGAACACAACAACAGTTATAGTCCATGAAGCAATAAATGAAGAATACGAGTACATACAATATAACAAACAGTTACGTCTCATTCGTTCAGTCAAAGATGACATGTACCAAATGCAAAGTATTTTGACAGCATGTTATGCTCCAGATACTAAACTTCCTAAAGACTGGTTTAGGAACCAAAGCACACAAGAACTTTTGAGCGAAGCACAGCGAGACATACTTTTTTCTGAAAACAGTGAAGAACAGCGAGTGGGAGGGAAACCCCAGTCGCCAAAACTCTATGAAAACAGTGAAGAACAGCGAGTACGTAAGAAACCCCAGTCGCCAAAACTCTATGAAAATCGTGAAAAATTGCCAAACGGTTTGAGAGGATATTATGTTCAAAGACTTCTCGTAAATGTTGTAGCAATGTGGGCTTCACCTCGTTATGCTTGGTATGTTTGTAAACTTCTTGACGAAATTCACAGACAAGAACGCGAACAGATGGAAAAGAAACTTCAAGCAAAAGATGAAGTCATTGAATCCAAAGACAAAAGCATACAGAAAAGAATACCACGTTCAGTACCAAAAGGAAAGGAAAAGAGTTATAAGTATATGATTTACGCTGAAGAGATGGAAAATGAAGAAGACAGAGATATGGTTATGTTGCATTTAGTCAGAAGAAACAACAAAAGCTTTTATGACCTTGCTAAGATTTACAAATCTGACAGAAACTGGTTCTATCGTGAAAACTTACCGATTTCAATGACACCGAATGAGCAAATAAAGGAAATTGTCAAAAATACTCTTCCTCAAACACACTATGACATCAAAGGTTGCACAATACTTACATTCAAAGAAGACTTACCATTGTTAAAGGAAAAAATAACAGAGTATTTCGATAACTTCAAAGAGGAAGAATGAAAATCTAAGCTAATTTTATTTTTTTTTATAAAATTTTATCTCATATGAAAGAACATGAATTTAGAATATTCGGAACTCATGACAGAAGAGGAGAACGAACAGCATGTAAAAGATTATGCAAAATTTATGAAGACATACAAAGCATTTAAACAATATCTAAATGCTTCTAAAGATTATGCAAAATTTCTGAAGGTATATAAAGCTTATGAAAAAGCGTATGAAAAGTTTATACATTGGGGAATTGTTGTAAAATATCCATATGAAGACTAACCAAAAATATATTTTTGCTTAAATAGCTTCAGGGTCAATTTCTTCAACCATTTCACTTCCTTCGTCAATGTCAATTGAAGCTTCTTCAACCTTTGGTAAGAATTTCTGTATAACATCTTTGTTCGTTATTGTCTTCAGAGATGAAGGATAATATTTCACATTTGTTTCACCCTTCTTATATTCTTTCTGTTCGGAAAGATTCATAGCAATACTGAAGAAGTCAATGTTAGAGTTCTTTATGACAGTATAATGAGTATCTTTGACATTCACGAAGAAACTCTTTTGTTTCAAAACTACTGCTAACTCTTGTGAAGTATAACGTTTGCGGTCAATGACGATAGCTAATGGTCTGACATACTGACCAAACTTAGATTCTTTCACAAACTTCTTGTTAAAGATAATATTAACATTTGAAGCATTATTGAACTCATTCTTGATGGCAGTAGCGAGAGCATTGTATGAAAAGAACTTGCAATCTTGCATGTGTTTCATTAAAATAAAAATATTAAATTATTTTGAAAAATAACTTAAAAAAAATCTAACCAAATTTTTTCAAAAAATTTTTTTTTTATTTCCTACTAAAGATGTATCGGAAGTTGTCTAAGTTAGAACACTCGAAATAAAAAATTCTTACAGAAGCTAATATAGATGTTGCAAAGCATTACGCAACAAACAAAAAAGCACTCGCTGACTTCATTAAGTATAATGGTGCAATAAGTTATGATAGAATTCATGAGTTCATAAAGCCGCAACGCGGCGAGGACGAAGTCCATGCAATAGCATTTCCTTTAAATGACGTTGCTATTGACTTATATCATAGACGTTCAGTACCTCATGAAGTAAGAAGAGAGATGTTTGACATAACAAATGCGAACGTTGGTGAAACAAGAAGAAGAGACGACACACTGAAACAACAGAGAAGAGAGATGTTTAAGAGCGCTATAGAACAAGTTCGCAAAGCTAACGATGTCATTCGTTCCATTGACGACAAACCAAAAGAAGGTGAGAGATGGTTAAAGAAAGATGAAGAGAATAGGAAGAGAAATGTGAAGTCAGGCAATAGACTCATTGACTTTAACATCGAAGCTTTAGATGAACCAAACAGAGACTACTTACACAAACATTTCGGTAAGGTTTTCATGAGACTCTTAGAGAAAATTAAAATAAACTCACAACAGAGATGGATGGTATGTTATAAACTTGGTGGAAAGTATGAATGTTCTACGTTAAACCTCAATAATATTGGAACATTACTACATCAGCTCTTGAAGGAGAACTTTATATCAGAGATAGAAGCAAATGCCGCAGGTATTGTTGAAATGCACTATGACTTCTTCTTGACAAACATAAAGAATCTTACCGAAATAAAGATGTATGATTTAACAGAATATGAAGGCTTAACGATGTCAGATGTAAAGAAAGGCAAACCAAAAAAGAGACCATATAGAGATGAAAGCACACTGACAAATGACCAGAAAGCCATTTTGGAAGCTCTTAAGCAAACAGGAAACCCAGCACTTATAGAAAGCTTTTGGAAAGATAATGGTGAAAAGAAGTTTTATAAGAAGAGAAGCGGTCAGTTCTGGAAGTATCTTTGCACATTACCTATAAATCTTGAACGCTACCAAATCTTCAATGAACTGAACAAAAGAACTGCAACACTTATGACAGAGGACAATTGTTTCGTTTATGCTTGCATTCAGGCTGGAGTAAATGAAGAAACTATTGACCACATGAGAGAAGTCATTCGTGTTAGAGACTTTCCTCAAAGTAAAGTACAAGAAATTTCTGACGCAACAGGTATATCATTTAATGTTACCATTGGTTATTTCAATGAGTCAAGACATAATGAAATAAAGAGATATATACCAAAAGAATGCGAAACTGTTAGAACTATTGACTTACTTCTTGTTGAAGACCACTACATGCTAAATGAAAGATTACCAATGACAACATACTTCATTCGAAACTATAAAGAAATTCTCAAAGCTTGTGGTGGAATGAACATTGAGAAACAGATGAAGATTTATACAAAGAGAGAAGATAAATATGTAGTTCGTTATGATAGAACAACACCGTTATGGGATGTTATGAAAACATTGTGGGAGTGCAAATATTTCGAACCTATTTCTTATGGAGAACTTTT